GGTAACCCCAAAGCTAAAAGGTCCCAGAAGGGGAAGACCCATTGCATCTGAAACCCAGTCCTCCTCTGAGAGTCAGCAGATAACTCCCCATTTGCCATGTACTTCAGGAAATATTATATTACATACAAAAGTGAAAATATACTGTTCTTTATTGGAGAAATATGATAATTAAAGTTACTGAATTCTTATAAAACTGTCTGGCATCACCTTATTTCCTGAGACTTAAGTGATTCCTAGTTAATATGATTGCCCCGTGTGTATCAGGTAAAGGGTCCTGACACTAAATGAAATGAAAATTTGGCCTCCAGTCTGTTCTTTCTACCTGTCCATCCACCAAACTCATCAACCAATAATTATTTTCAGCACAGGAGAAGATATCCAAATGATAGGCATCTTCTCCAAAAACCAAAGATTGAACTCAGTCTCAGCCTCTGGGATTGGTAGAGATGTATCTACTGGCATAGAGTCAGCTTACAACAAAAGTGAGACTTCTTGGTACATAAGAGTTAGTTATTGATCAATTAAAAATACAGATTTGGAGATCTCTCTAGGTATTTATAAGGTCATAATCTTCAATTAAAGTCTGAAAAGCAAAAAATCTCCTCCAGTGGTTTGTGATGCAGCCAGCATTACACAAATTTACAAAACGATCTCTGGGAACACTGACCTGTGGCTAGACCAGACCTCAATGAAGTACACATGGGCGCATCATGGAAAAAGCCTTCAACCCCACATTCATTTAAGACCATTCTCCTTTCATGGGAACAATGAAGCCACAGTAAATGAAATATTGCTTACTTTCCCTATTCTTGCCCGTTCAACTGATAGCGAAATGCTGAATGTTCATAGGACAAACTTGGCAAGAAGGATGCCTTTTTTTCTGCCAAGCCCTAGTAATATTTACCATTGAACATTGAGACCTTTTTTCATGATTCTTCCTGGAAACCTTTCTCTGAATTCAGAGAAAGCTCCTGCATCAAGGAATGAATACTAATAAGCCACAGACTTAGGTAGAAAATATAGATATGGATATTACTTTGGCTCACAATCCTCTCATTCCACTTTACCAAATCTCTGTGATCAGGCAGTGTCTTGCTGTTTTTCCTGCTGCTTTTGGTCCATTCACCTAACACACTCCACCTGAAACCTAACCAGAAATAGAGTGAGCAGCTGCATGCCCTACGATCTTCTCTTCTTTTTCAAGTCACTCTTACCCCTGTGTTGCAGCCCCCACTTCATTCCCCTGAGGGAATCCATTGTCCACACCATGAATTTGTAAGGACACTGAGGACTTGATGCTATGTATTTGAGTAGAATATGATAGAACTATGTGATCAAGGACAAAACCGCTTAATCTAAATTCTAGCTAACAATAGGTTTATATAGGCGACCTGACTTCAAGAGCTCAGAAACTTTGCTTTAGGGACTTGAACTTACTCAGATACTTTAATGATCAGTCAGTCAGAAAAACAGAGACAAACCCAAATATTTTAAGTAAAAATAAATTTCATATAAAAAATACACATTTAGTCATTGGAAGGACTGATAAAGCAAATATAAAAAAGACTGATTAGGGAGATGGCTACTGAACTTGAGCTGTGAAATATTGCTTTCAGGGACTAGAAATGAAGATTTTATACAGAGATTTCACCCTCCAGACCCAATCCTAGAGTGGTAGGGCAATCTCTGTATCCTTCTCTCCATCTCTCTCTCTCTATTTATCTGTGTTTCCCTATGTCTTTTGATTTTTTTCTGGGCTCTTAGCCCCTCCTTTATTTTACTAATTTCTATTTTACTAATTATTTTTTTAATATAAATTTTTTTCATTGTCTTTTCTTTTTTTTCTTTTTCTTTTTCCCCCTCTTCTTCATTTTCTTTTCCTTTTTCTTCTACCTTCAAACCTTGGCTGCTCAGCCTCCCCACACTGAGTGTCTATACAGATTTAAATGAACAGAACCCAAACATCTGAATACTACTAGGGTAAGGATATTTCTCAATTCCCACTGGATTTGATGCACAAAGGGTAAAAAACAGAATGGAAGAGAGATTGCAGATCACCTCCTCCTGAACATCTCTGAATGTTTAGATTGAACTTCAAGAATTAGGAATAAATGTACAACCCATCAGATGACCAGAAATCACCACAGGGGTACAATAAATATGAGAAAGCAAGAAAATACCTCTCCTCCAAGGGAAAAGAATAACTTCTCTCCATTTACAGACAGTAAAGTGGAACTCACAGAAATGTCAGATAAAGGATTTAGAATATTCATAGTGATAAAGTTAACAGAGATGCAAGAAGAGACAAAATGAACTTCGGAAGGCACAGGAGAAAAGGGCCAATGAGTTCCAGGAGGTGAGAAAGTTCTTGCACAATCTGAAAGAAAAAATAAACCTCATATAAAAGAATCAAATGGCACTATTAGAGATGAAGTCTGTAATATCGGAAATCAAAACGTCCTTTGATACAGAAGATCAGATGTCAGATACAGAAGACAGAATCATTGGCCTAGAAAAATCCACCATGAGGACTGAGAAAATAGCTCAAAAAGTGAGAATAATATACGAGAAATACTAGATACCATTAGATGTCCAAACACGGATAATTGGTATCCCAGAAGGTAAAGAGACTAATAAGGGCATGGATAATCTATTCCATGAAATTCTGGAAGAAAACTTTCCAAACCTAGAGAGGCATTCAAAGTTCCAGTCCCAAGAAATACAAGGGACCTCAAATTGAATCAGCCCAAGAAGATCTTCTCCAAGACACATTACAGCCAGATTGGCCAAAACCATAGACAAAAACAAGATACTAAGATTGGCAAGAAAGAAAAGTCAACTTACCTACAAAGGATATCCCATCAGGCTAACAGTAGAAATTTCATCAGAAACAATGCAAGCAAGGGAAAAAATGGGAAAATATATTCAAAGTGTTAAGGGAAAAACAAATTCAACCAAGAATACTATACCTATCATTATCCTTCATATGGGAAGAAAAGACAAGAACATTCTCAGATAAACAAAATCTGAAAGAATTTACCAACGCCAGAACAGCTCTCCAAGAAGTCTTGAAGGACTACTATACCAGGAAAACTAAATACAGACACACAGAAATAAGAGTTCAAAAACAACTAGAAAAATGACCAACTTAAAGGTAGGGACAAGTCTGGAGTTGAATGTTATCTTCCAGAATTTAATTGGGAAGACTGGACCCCAACAGAAGATAAAGTACATGAGATTGAACTGGTGAAATAGAATCTTACTACTTTTGACTGAACATTACTGATTTTCTTCTATGCTCTGTTTTCCAAATTTAAGGATTTTTGTCTTGTCTTGAGCTGCTGATAGGTTCATGTACCTACTATTTGAACAGAATTCAAGCCCATTTCCTGGCTTTAAGTTTTAAGCAAAGTTCTCAGCCTTTCTTTTAAAAAATTTACTAAAGCTAAAACTGCTTTGCTTGAAATTTTAAAATATATTTAAAAATACCTATTTAATGACCACAGTAATTTATGTAGCATCAACTATATGCTACTTCATAGCATATTAATTTTACTCAGAGTTTCATGCCTAAAATTAGATTAGGACCACTGTCATGTTTGGTAAATTGCTATTTAGTGTTTTTGGCACTTTTCAAAATAATGGTCCCAAACATAAAGATGAATCACCACACGTGAAAAGCAGAAATGAAACTAGTGTCAAATATTTTTCTTTTATTGCTATTAGTAAGTTTTCAACCTCTAGGACTTTGCTGTGAGCTCTGAGGATGGTTCATATGCACTTAGTGAATTGCTCACTGAATGCAATTAAGTGACCCATAAATGACACAGAAATTTGCTTTGCCCCTGAAATAAAGACTGAGGCCCTGCTAGTATGAATCTTTGATTACTGTTCACACTTGATACACTTTTTTAATATTCTAGATTCGGGTCTTCTTGTCCTATCTTTAGCTCTCCTCATTCAAGGGCTCCCATATTAATAACAGCAGTCCTCTACTGCTTGAAGGTAGGACTCCAAACACCCCACTTACTCAGTTATTTTTAATTCCTGGATAAATATCTCTGAATATAATGAAAGAAAAAAATTGAGGAATCTAAGGTTGAGAGAGTATAATATGCAGGACGTTAAGGTTTCTCTCTGTTTATAGTGACTCCTGGCTTTCTGTGCTTGATTATTCTATTGTCAACTTTGTTGCACAGGAAACTGCATTTCCCCAAATCCCCTTCTCCTTATGATTCAGAAGTACAAAAATGAATTTGCATAAAATTTGAGAAGCAGACAGGAAGCAGCAGCCATTATCTCCTGAAAGACATAGCAGTGTTGGCAAATTCCACTTTGTTCTTGCTTTTCCCTTATGGTACCTAACAGCAAATAACCAACTCCACAGCAAGTAAAATTCCTGTCACCCAAGTACTTACCAGATGCTAATGACAACACATAAATTGCTGCAATGATTTACACTGATCCCTTGCCAATTCCCCACAAGTAATTAATAACTGTGACACTGCAATCTTTTAGGACCTGTCACCACCAACAACAATTGGATCCATATAGACGTGAGTATCAATTGTTTAAATCCAGAATCTCATTCTGTGTGTTTCCTTCCTGTGAAACCTCTGTGCCAACTATTTGATGTTGGGTTCCTTCAAGAGGAAACCTTGAAAAATGCATCTGAGTCCAAATAGTGTATTTGGGAAGTTCAGTGAACATTAGTAGAGAAGAGGGGATATGGTCCAGGGAAGAGTAAGTGCTCACAAGGATGCCACTGCTGAAGGCAAAAACTGGTAAGAAAACTTTGGCAGGTCTTTTGGCAATCACAGATAAATTCATAATTGCGCAAATCATATACTTCAGCAGACACGACTTCCAGGTATATAACATAGAACATTAATTATCTACCTATAAGAAAACATAGATAATTGTATTCCTTGTAGAATATTTATCATAAAAAATGGAAAGCCCCTTTAAATAAAGAATTAACAAAATTTTTCTTCTTCTAGATGAGGAAATTACATTAATTTGCTCTCTGTTCCTCTGGAGCCCTGATGAAGGTAAACTCAGTTGTACTGCTAGATAGCATTAGTATGGTGAAAGGATCCTGATTGACAGATTGCATCTGGATTATAAATGAATGGGGAATACTTGGTACAATGGCATAGCTTTGGGAGAGTGATTTTGGTAGCTGTTTCAAAATATATTGGTTTCTGTTTGGGACTCATAGTTACTAAGTGTCAGTAGCCTGTTGCATTTCCCTTCATATCTGAACACTGGAAATGGGAGAACAGGTAGAGGGAGTTGCAAGATGAATAGTCCATGAACAAAGTGAACAGCTAAGGGGATGCCCCCTGAAAATGCACCTAGCATGAGGAAAGCAAATACCTATGCTGTCTATCCAGCTTTGAAAATTCGACTGAGTTTAAGACTCTCAAAGACATTGCATAATCCAAATGTCCATCAGAAAGGGATATGTGGTATATTTATAAAATGAGATACTATATAACTGTTAGAAGTAATAAAATGTCCAATAAAAATAAATAAAAAACATAAACATAATGAAATGTATCTGTATGTACAATTTTTTATCTCATAAATGTTTTTAACAAAAAAGCAAGTTTAACAATTACACATACAGGGACCAGCAGTTGGCATAATGGCTACATCACTGGACCTCCATGTAGATGACTGTGGTTCGAGTCCCAGGCCTGGTGGCTTAAATTCAGCCGGGTGCATGTGTATGTGTGCTCAAGATCCCGAGAAGAGAATGGAGAAATAATTGCAGCATGGCCATCCACCCTGAGGGGGTGATTTCTTGCTTTCTGTCTCTCTGACTGTCTTTTTGGCAAGTGCATGCACCCTATAGCAAAAAGCTCTCAAAATAGGGACCAGCAGTTAGCGTAACGGCTTATAAAAAAAAAAAAAAAAAAAAAAAAAAAAAGAAAGCCCAAAAAACAATTACACATACAATGGTGTAGCATCCCTATAAATTTTAAAACACACAAAATATGGTCCATACATTATTTATAAACACACATAATTAGAAATATAATTACATGGACTGAGAAACAAGTTAATAATAAGTTCATTTTGGAAATGATGAGAGGGAATGAGATTGAAGAGAAAAATAAGAGCGATAGCAATTTTATCCGTAACGTTTATTTATATAAAACATTTAGAACTTTGTGTTTGAATAAAACTATTAATACAGGAAGATATAAATAGTATATTTTTTAAAAGATGCTACAATTGACTTGTATGGCAAATGTAATTTTGTTAAAGGTTGCAGATTTCTGCTTCCTCAATGTGTTAATGTATTGTGTAAACATTTTCAGATTTATGAAACAATCATTAAAATATCATTTGACCTCACAGACAAGGTTGCTGGTACTAGAACTAAAATGCTTTCCTAAGTACTTGAGGCCCTTACTGCCAGGAGTTACAAGTCCTCACACTGAGCTTCAGTTTGGAAATTAGAGAAACTGCCCTTTCTCCTTCTCACTTGCAGGTGTTTTGGGAAGTGAAACTGAGCTGTGTCCCTGAGTCTCATAAGGAAAATCACCCTCTCAGGAACAGAAGAGAATCCAGTCTAAATCACAAAATACATTAAATAAGCACAAATTCCTCATGAATAAATTTAAACATCTTACGCCATTTCTAAGAATCCTTCAAATGCATATACCACAAATTCTCACTTTGATATGTCTTGAAATATAATGCCAATACCAACTGGTGTCTCTTTGGCTAAGGTAAATTAGTGGGCACAATCTCTATATTTTTATTTTTATAACTTTAAACTTTTATTCTTGATAGCATCAGGAAGTACACAACAAAAAAAGCACAACCCCCCTCCTTCTCATCTTTACTTTCTTACAAAGTCATCCTTACCCGCCAAGGCTTCAGACAACTAAAGATACGAAATGGACTTAGAAAGTATTTTCAGCCTCGCTGGGGGAAAGGCATAAATCTATTGCATTACCTATTTCCTTTAAATTCCCACTAAAGTACCTAATCTTCAAGGATTAGACATTACTAAATTTTGTAAATCATTAATCATACTAAAATTAAACAGATGCCAATCAATTTCTAATATTACAACTGTGAAATCATTTGAAAATAGAGAATAAGAATGTAAAAAGAAAACAATAACAGCATTTGGGATCAGTTAGCAAAAATTCCTATTTCACCAGTTTTGAAGATTACTAATGTGGATTTGCAAAATTTAATATATCAAAAAAATAGGAATCGGGACTGGCAGGTTGTGTGGTGGCTGAGGGTGCTGGACTCGCACGTTCAAGTCCTGGACTTGGCAGCTTGCTTTCTCACTTTTCCTCTTTCTCTCTCACTCTGTCCTTCTCTGGTCAAATTTAAATAAATAAATAAATGTTAAATATAAGAATTTTTAAAAGAATAGTAATCAGGGACCAGCAGGTAGCGTAATGGCTATGTCACTGGACTCTCACATAGTCGATTGCAGTTTGTGTCCCAAACCCAGTGGCTTAAAACTCACGCCGGGCACGTGTGCATGCGTGCCCAAGATCCCGAGAGGAGAATGGAGGAGAAGAGATTGCGGCGTGACCATCCCCCCTGGGGGGTGATTTCTCGCTTTCTGTCTCTATGTCTGTCGGGAAAAATAAAACAAGCTTTACTATAAAGTTAATAGAGGGGCCAGGTGGCGGTTCAGTGCAATGCAACTTGACCCACATGGGAAAGGTCCTGGGTCTCACATCCTTACCTTCCCGAGCACCCTCAGCACGTGTGTGCTTGTGATCTAGGCTGGCTGTGACTGCGGGAAGATCATTGTATGAAGACCCCAAAGGGGATGCTTGTCTCTCTCCTTCTCTCTCTCATGGAAGAAACACACACAAATACATAAATGGAATTTGGCATCTAGATTAGTGTCTTTTTCCTCCTTGATAGTACTTTAAGAAATACTAAAGATTTTGAGTTATTCCTTCTCCTTTCTGCAATATTCTTAGTAAGGTACTGAAATCTACACGAGCACACCATGGTCTAAGCCATCCATTTATCAGTCTCCTCCCTTCTAAATGGGGCACCTAAGACAAAAGAAAATAATCAGCAAAGTGGAGTTAGGGAAAAGATTCCAGAAAAACTAGTTTAAAATTATCAAATTAGAAAGGTAGTAAGTTTTCAAAAGGAAATAAGCCTACAGAAACAGGCTCATCTTTAGTTTTGGATTATTAAAATATAAAATGAAGGAAAAGCTTTCCTGTGCCACATCACCATTTCCATATCAAATCACTTAAAGCACATCACTCCTACGTTCACTCAGCAAGTTCCTGAGCACCTCCATGCTGTGGAAGAATAGCACCATGGCTTCAACTATGTCGGAGTCCAAAATCTTTCAAGTGCAGTTATCCTTCTTAGCATCTCACAAGGTTTGTGTGCAGCTCCCCCTGCAGCCCCAAGCACTGTGTCACTCAGAGCACAGAAGTACTCAGCCGTGTCACTCCAGTGCACAGACGGTTTCCTCAGGTTGAAGGAAGAGTCACTCTTCTTAAATTCAGCCTCAAAGCCCTTGATGCCTTTAACAAGAGCGTCTCCTGAGATGTGCTTGAGGAGAAGCTGGAGGCCTTGGCCAGGGTACTGGACATACCAGAAGAGAGATGGTGTGACACTATAGGAATAGTTGCATCTCAGCTCCAGTGAGGCTTCTTCAGAGAGAGTGACATGGCTGTCAGGCTGGGTGATGGACTGGGCTCTGGTATCTTCTGCAAAATCAATGTTGTATCACTGAGAATAGTAAAGACTTACCCATGAAACATAGTTCTACTAAGATTAGAATAAGAAAACAGTCACTCCTGTGGGTCTAGGAATCATAT